AAAAAAAATCTTTCTAAGGCACGGACTACATGTATCGTAAGATTATCTGATGAAACTAATTAAACAGATGGTTTAGGAAACTATATCGGAGCATTTTCGTTAAATCTTCCTTCATTGTCAAAGACGTTGTCTTAACGCGTCCTATGGTTGCTCGCAAAACAATAGAAACTCAACTGTGGAGAAATCAGTACATGCAATCTAATCTAAGGCAATCTCTTATCGTATTTTTGAAGTTTGGTACAATTATGTACTATGAGTATACATAGTCGATAGAGAAACTCAATTTAGATCTGATTCAAATTCATAAACGATATAGAGGTCTTCGAACGTGATGAAGAATTGCTCAAAGTAAAAAGAAACTTGATCAGTCATTCTCTGCTATGCCTACTCAAATCAACAGCAGTCATCATTCAAACTATCGTATTCGGTGGTCAATAGTTGTGAAATCTTTGCCTTCTTGAAATATGTTGAGTTAGTGTCAACTTACTATGTATTCAGTCACATGAGAATTAAATCTAGAAAATGTTATATAGCAGTTTGATTAGCTCACTTATTGGTCTGCTCGTTGATGGAGTAAAAGTTGACAGAACCACTGGTGCTGGACCGTTGGCTGTAATTACGAAACTCCCTATTGTATTTACATCGTAGGTGGTGACGATTAAAACATATGTTCTTCCGTACTGGAGATTGGCGTTGATTCGAAACTGGTGATTACCGGCGCCGTCGTCATCAGTTGTTATCAAATTCTGAGATGGATACGACGGGTCAACAGGATCAGAATAGAAACAACCAAACGTGTCTTTTGAACTAGTGCTGATAAAACTGTACAGACCAGATGTCGAAACAGTCACTCGAATAGCTTGGTAATAGTAGCGTCCTGAACTTTTATCAGGTCGAACAAAGATAGGACTACTGGATGATAAAGAGCCAGATGAAGTCGACGGACCAGCTGAAGTGGTGACTAAATGAATTTAATAAAAGTATTAATTCAATGTAGCGGAAGATGATTCTCAAATGAATAGTGCTCTAGTTCGTCTCAAGAACACTAGAATAACTGACTTTTGAATAGTGAATTCGAACTCTAGTGCGAAACAACTCGTTGCCATCTCTTTGAGCATATGACTGATCTTTCTGAGAGTTATTAATTTACTTACCTGATGATGTCATTGGTCTGCTCGTTGATGGAATAAAAGTTGACAGAATCACTGATGATGGACCATTGACTGTGATCATATAAACTCCCATTTTATTCGTATTGAAGGTAGTGACAATCAAAACATATGTTCTTCCGTACTGAAGAGTGGCGTTAATTCGAAACTGTTGATTACCAGCGCCGTCGTCATCAGTTGATATCAAATTCTGAGACGGATAAGATGGATCAACAAAATCAGAATAGAGACAGCCAAAACTGTCCATTGCATCGGTGCTGATAAAACTGTACAGACCAGATGTAGAAACAGTCACTTGAATAGCTTGGTAATAGAAGTATCCCGAACTACCACCAGGTCGACGGAATACTGGATTACTAGACGATAAACGGCCAGTTATAGTGGTGCCTAAATGAATGGAATAAAAGCATCATTTTATGGCATGACGTAGAGAGTATCCAATCAATCAAGGATAATCAGTGTCTGAAATGTATTTTAAGATGAGTATGAGTCTTACGAGGGAGCATCCCCAACTGAAGTGTCGCTTTGGAGTTCGGGTCCGGTGCATAATGTAGACCCCAGTGAAGTATGAAAAACCCCAAAAGGATAAGGGCCCATAGGCCTTCTGACCCGAGTTATAGGCAATATACTAAAACTTTAGCCTATGGGAGAGTATGTAGGAATAAATCGGATGACGGTATTTTGACCTGAGATTTTGCCCATAGAGAAGCCTATATGTGACTAGAATACCCTGAAAATTTCAGCTAAAAAGAACATTTCCTTCTCGAGATATTAAAGTCT